AATATAGTTACAACAAGATAAAACCAAGTAAAATTGGGATGCATCAATGTAGAACTAGGAATTTGTTGTCGCGAGAGCAGCCTTCAAACAACTGGATATAACGGTTGGCACACACTTTGACATACTGCATTATCGTAATCATCTTGTTTTACAAATCAAATAACCTTTAAAATCAACTATTTACACACGGAATCATTCTTGTTTTACATTTCAAATAACCGTTAAAATCAACTTTCACTAGATATATTACACACGAAACCATTCACCTTAATAGAACTCCAATAAAACATTCACCTCAGCATTCCTTGACTATATCTTGGAAAAATTGTGAATGAATTTGTAACTGATAAAAAGTGTTTTGAAACGTGTCTTCTACTTTTAAGATAAAACTTATAATTTGGTTTTATTAAAGATGAAACATTCTTTAATTTAAGTTTATTAAAGTTAAATTAAATGCATTAGTTACCATTCTTTGTCCTATAAAGAGATGATCTTCTCTGAGAAGGAAGAGACACGAAAGAAAGAAAGAAGAAAAGAAAATACATATTCCCCCATTTTTTAAGTGTTTTGGTCTAAGCATAGTTCCAGTTTGTCGAATTTGATTCGGTTTTGCAGTTGTATCATGGGAAACATACGCTCATACGGCGCGAATCTGTTTTAAGGACACTGTGCTCTCACAGTCTCACAGGCCTCAGTATTATATTAAATAACCATCTTATTTTCATTTTTATAATAAAGTTTCGAACAGGAACTGTAACTAGCCCCACATAAATATAAAGAGAGAGAGAGAGAGAGAGAGTGAGAGAGAGAGAGAGAGAGAGAGAGAGAAGAGATCATATGAGAAAAAATGATAGGGAAAGAAATAAGAATGAATGTAGGCTTTTAAATCTAACAAATCGGTGGTCATGATCAAGTTAAACATTAAATAATTCAGTCAAACATATAATGACATTATGGTAATTACTTGAACATATAGTGGTCAAATATGTGAATTTGACCAATTATTAAGGGTATAATGGTCATTAAAACAATTAACAACTCTGGTGGACCCCATCCCAACCCACCCCATCTCTCTCATGCACTAACACACTAAACACACAATACACTCACACACACACACACACACACCTGTGGTAAACAGGACCAGAACCGAGCCCGTAGTTTGACCGACCCGATTCTAGGCCTCATGTACAAAAATTTTTGGCCCGACGGGCAGGGTCCAGGCTATCCCTCGATACAACCCACCATATTATATACATATATATATATATATATATATATATATATATATATTTAGGGGCGGAGCCACCCTAAAGGCTGGGGTGGGCTCCAGCCCAGGCTAAAATCTGGTCCATAATATTAAAACTACCCCAATATAATTTTGGCCCATGTTTAGACTATTATTATTTTTTTAAAATTAATGTCCTTACTCCCCATGTGGCTGTGTGTATAAGGAGATTAATATTAAAATTTTCTCGACTTTTTCCTTGTTATCTCGCTTATGTGGTTGTGTGCATGTAAGGAGACTAAAATTTAAATTTTCTTGACTTTTCCCTCGTTATCTCGCTTATATCTTTTATATTATCTTCTTTTTTGTGTATTGTACGTGTATTTTATATTTTTTACTTCTATTATTATTTCTATTGTTCTTCTTGCTATAAAATGCGAGGAAGATAAAGAACACAATGTAAAAACCGAATATAAATTATAAGGTGCTTTTATTTCTCTTTTTCTTCCGTACCAACATTACAATGTCCTTGGCCCTTTTATAGGCAAATTGACACACACTTCAATACTTATTTTAATACAATAATGCAAATGATAAGGTTTATTAGTGGTAAATTCCACTTATTCATAATACTCCCCCTTGGAATTATCACTATTAACTATGCGTTCATGCTACCTAGTTAAAAACTTTATCTGGAAAAACCATGTGGGAAAAAAACCGAGATAAGGAAAAAATAGTACAGCCGCACATGCTCCCCCTCGATTTATCATCTGTGCAAATCCCGAACATGTCTCATTCCAATATTGTGTACGTGCTTTCGAAATATTGTCGTTGGAAGTGCCTTCGTAAATAAATATGCTGCATTATCGCTTGATTCAATGTATTGAACTTTGATTTGTTTGTCCCTTTCAAGCTCTTGAGCATATGAGAAGAACTTTGGCGGGATATGTTTGGTTTTGTCATTCTTAATGTATCCTTCTTTAGTTTGAGCGACACATGCTGTATTGTCTTCAAATATCACCGTTGGGTCATAATTGTTCGATAATCCACTAGCTTGTTGAATATGTTGAGTCATGTTTCTGAGCCAGATGCTTTCCCTTGTTGCTTCATGAAGTGCAATGATCTCAGCATGGTTTGAAGACGTTGCAACTAATGTTTGTTTCTGGGAATGCCAAGAAAATACAGTTCCACCAATCGTGAAAACGTAGCCAGTTTGAGATCTTGCTTTATGGGGGTCTGATAGATATCCTGCATCTGCAAAACCGACCATTTCGTGTTTTTTATTATTGGAGTAAAACAATCCCAAATCGATTGTCCATTGGAGATAAGGGAATACATGCTTGATTCCATTCCAATGTCTCCTCGTAGGTGCTGAGTTATATCTTGCTAATAAATTGGTAGCGAAAGATATATCTGGTCTGGTGCAATTAGCAAGATACATAAGAGCTCCTATTGCACTCATATATGGTATTTCAGGACCAAATATTTCTTCATCTTTTTCACAAGGTCGAAATGGATCATTTTCGATATCTAATGTTCGATTGACCATTGGGGTACTTAGTGGATTAGCCTTGTCCATATTGAATCGTTTCAATATTCTTTTAGTGTAATTAGATTGATGGACAAATATCACATTTTTTACTCGTTGTATTTGCAAGCCGAGACAATATTGGGTTTGTCCGAGATCTTTAATTCAAACTCACCTTTCAGTAAAGTGACTGCTTCTTGAATTTCATTTGTAGTCCCAATAATATTAAGATCATCGACATAGACATCAATTATCACAACTCCATCTTGTGATCTTTTTATAAAAAACATACGAGCATATTTGATTATTTATGTATCCCCGTATTAGTAATTGTTCACTCAAAAAATTATACCACATACACCCAGATTGTTTCAAGCCATGCAATGATCTTTGCAGTTTTATCGCACGTAATGCTTTAGGTTTGGACTTTAGTGCTTCGGGTATCCTAATTCCTTCTGGAATTTTCATATAAATGTCAGCGTGTAGCGATCCATATAAGTAAGCAGTCACAACATCCATTAGACACATCTCAATATTTTATGGATGGCTAAACTAATCAAGTATCTGAAAGTAATTGCATCCATAACAGGGGAATATGTTTCATCATTATCGATCCCAGGTCTCTGGGAGAATCCCTGTGCTACAAGGCGAGCTTTATATCTTGTGATCTCATTTTTCTCATTTCTTTTTCTGACAAAAACCCATCTTTATCCAATAGGTTTTATGTCTTTGGGTATAATGGTTATAGGTCTAAACACCTTTCGTTTATTAAGTGAATCTAGCTCGGCTTGAATAACACCTTTCCACTTGTCCCAATCATGTCTTTTCTGACATTCAATCATAGATTTTGGTTCAGGATCCTCAACTTCTTTGTCAATTTCTTGTGATACCATATATACGAATGCATCATCAATATTTATGATCTTATCACGCTTCCAAAGTTTCCCATTATTTACGTAATTGATGGAGATTTCAATATTTTCATTTCGTCTCGAAATTTTTCCATCATCTTGATTTTTTTCAAATTCGAATCATGAATTTCTCTGTTCTTTCGAGAATTCTTATCTTTAGACCCAACTGGTCTTCCTCGTTTCAAGCGTGTCTTTAGTTCATTTGGCATATTGTCATTTGTCATTTCTTTTGGAATCTCAATTCGAGCAGGGGCATTTATAGGTGCAACATGTGATTTTGTCACCCTTTTTGTGTCAGTAAATGCATCTGGCAATTGATTTGCAATATTTTACAAATGTATGATCTTTTGAACTTCTTGCTCTCTTTGTTTAGTGGAAGGATCAAGATATGATAATGATGATGTTCTCCATTCAATATTTCTCTCAATTGACTTTTCATTCCCACCTAAAGGGGTGAATAATTCTTCATTAAAATGACAATCATCAGACCGAGATGTAAAAACATCACCTGTTTTTTACTCAAGGTATTTGATTATTGATGGAGATTCATATCCAATATATATTCCCAACCTTCTTTGACCCATTTTTGTGCGTTGGGGTGGAACAATTGGTACATACACTGCAGCAAAAAATTCTTAGACGTGCAATATTTGGTTCTCGACCATATGCCAACTGTAATGGCGAGTATGTATGGTGTGCACTTGGTCTTATTCGAATTAGATCATCTGCATGCATAATAGCATGTCCCCATACTGAAGTAGGGAGTTTTGTCCTCATTATCAATGGTCTTTCTATAAGCTGCAGTCGTTTAATCAATGATTGTGCTAGACCATTTTGAGTGTGAACATGTGCTACAGGATGTTCAACATCAATTCCCACTGCTATACAATAATCATTAAATGCTTGACATGTAACCTCTCGAGCATTGTCAAGTCTGACTCTTTTGATAATATAATCTGGGAATTGAGCCCTAAATTTAATAAGTTGGGCAAGTAATTTAGCAAATGCCACATTTCTAGTGGATAACAAACTCACGTGAGACCATCTACTAGAGGCATCAATTAACACCATAAAATATCTGAACGGACCACAAGGTGGATGAATAGGTCCACATATATCACCATGAATCCTTTCCAAAAATAATGGTGATTCATGTCCGACCTTAGTATGTTATGGTCTCACTATCAATTTCCCTTTAGATCATTAAGCACATGACAATTCATGTGATTGAACTATCCTCTGGTGTTTAATGGATGACCATCGGAATTTTCAATAATTCTTCTCATCATTATCGAGCAGGGGTGACCAAGTCGATCATGCCAAAATTTAAACATTTCAATCGATTGTGAATTTGTTGCATAAGTCTCGATAATATGAATGCAGGTGTAATATAAGCCCGATGATAAAGTTTGTAATTTCTCCAAAACGCATTTATTTCCCGCAATATTTGAGG